GAGTGAGAACATGTGGTGTTTGGTTTTCTGTTCTTGTGTCAGTTTGCTGAGAATGATGGTTTCCAGATTCATCTATGTCCCTACAAAGAACATGAACTCATCCTTTTTTATGCTGCACAGTATTCCATGGCATATATGTGCCACATGTTCTTTATCTAGTCTATCACTGATGGGCATTTGGGTTGGTTCCAAGTCTGCTATTCTAAACAGTGCCACAATGAACATTCGTGTGCATGTGTCTTTATAATAGAATGATTTATAATCCTTTGAGTATATACCCAGCAATGGGATTGCTGGGTCAGATGGAATTTCTATTTCTAGATCCTTGAGGAATCGCCACACTGTCTTCCACAATGGTTGAACTAATTTACACTCCCACCAACAGTGTAAAAGCGTTCCTATTTCTCCATATCCTCTCCAGCATCTGTTGTCTCCAGATTTTTTAATGATTGCCATTCTAACTGGCGTGAGATAGTATCACAAAGTGGTTTTGATTTGCATTTCTCTAATGACCAGTGATGATGAGCTTTTTTTCATATTTGTTGGCTGCCCCATCATCTTCACCATACATGCCCAGAATGGAGCATCCAGGGTAGAACACTAAAGTAACACCTGGGTGGGGGTGGGGGATGTATGAAACAGGTTGTTCCTCAAAGACCACAGACTCTTGCTGTTCTTAATGAGATTCAATAGATTTTCTTGAATGTTTCTCTATTTTCTGTATGCCTTCAAGACAATTTTCAGAAATTTTAAATGACTGTTTTAAAGAAAACAATTTTACCAGTAAAAATGTTGTTTTGCTGGGGAGAGGCTCTATTGAGCTCCTTACTTTGCGATTCTGGAAGTCCTACACTGCAATTTATTTATTTCACCAATGCCAACTATATTTCAAGTTGTCATGATGAGGTATTGGGAAAAATTTTCAGTTAGCAATAACTGCACCTTGAATAAACCTCATTGGCTATGATACTGCGACTGTGCAAAGCTTCCAATTTATTTTTAAATGTAACTTGAGTGAAAATGTGGTGCAGCAGAAGGAAGAATGGACTAGGTGTCAGGAGCCAGGGTTTTCATCCAAACTTGGCCTCAGTTTCCTCATTTGTAGAATGAAAGTATTGTATTAAATGACCTCTAACCACCTTCTAACTTTAAAATCTCATTACTTTATGAAACTGAAACTACTGTAGCTGTGTAAGAATGGGAAATATGGAAACAATCCACTAATCTTTTTCTTTTAACCAAAGAATGCTCCAACCTGTTTTTAACTAGAACATGCATTTCATTTCCAACTCTACCTAATAAAAATGCTAGTTTATCACACAGTTTGCAGTCAAGATATTTCTATACCCTAAAGTTTCCTTTCTAATCATTAGAACTGAGAAACTGGGGACAACAGAAACTTGTCTTTCACTGATTGGCCATCAAAAATATGACAGCTTAATGTTAACTGAAAGCACACTATAATTTGCTGTAATTTTATCCGCATTATGAGCTTCACAATTACTTTCTCTAAGACACGATTCCAAGTTTTTACCTTCTACATAAGGCTGTTAGTATCTCTTAATTATCTGTATTTATTCTCAGTATTTGAATGACAAAATATCAGTTTTCCCTGGACACTGCAGAGAAGAGTTTCTTCAATGGGATACCCATTTCTAGTCACAAATATAATGTTTATTTAGTGATTATCTACAGATTGCTATAAACAATAAAAGTGAGGCAAAGGGCCTCTCTGACTATTTTGTCTTAACTAACCAGTTTTAGCCTATTTGATTTGGTATTGTCATTTACTATACAATTTACATTAAAAATCTACATATTTAAATAGATTTGTTTACAATTTAAGAAAACTACAATTGCAAACATATCTAAATGCTTTCAAATATTAATCCATGACAGACTATCCAGTAACAAAGCTACAAGGTAAGGGAATTATGAATATACACTGGCAAAAGTTGCTACTCACTGACACATTCAGCAAATAGGAAGGATAAGAGCAAGATGGCACTATGGACAAAGAGATCCAGAAATAAAGAATCATACAATCTCTAAATACCTTGACTTTAAAGCAAAAATATTTTTTAAAATAGCCATCTTCACAAACTACTTTGTCAATATCTAAAGGAAAGACACCATATTTATCTTAAGGTTTCTAAAAGGTGCAAATCTCCGTAGAGGAAAAATAAACGCGTATCTTGAGCTTGTTCATGTCCAAATGCTAAGGTTTCTTTTTGATTTTCAAAAGTGACCCTCAGACTTGAGCTGTTAAAAATTTCCAAATGAGCCCATCTGCTCACCAAGATATTTCTATGTTAAGAACCTTCAGTAAGGCATCTGGCCCAGTTTTTATAATCTCAAATTACCTTGGTTTCAACTTAATTTTTGTAAACTGGAAGTCCCTTAGGAAGAAAGTAAAATTTTCAATCTTTAAAATAAAGAGATATAAAAAATAAAATCCTATCATCTTGCTCCATTTCAGATTTCATATTCTAAAACTGTACCTTATTCATCACACTGTATTAAAAAACATTATGTTGCAACACTGATTTAGAAATTTATACACTATCCTGTTGTGTGAGTATATAATATTATAATGTAAAATTAGTACACTATAATTAAATGCCCTTTTTCTTGGCATTTCTTCTGAATGAATCATCCTAGGAAGCTTTTCTTTCATCTTAATTTGTCTATTATTTCCCAATACAGAACCACTTTAATATGAAGTGGTTAAAAGAAATGCCTTTTAGACTTAGCTATTGACCCTACAATAACTGTTTTTCAAGTAATTTAAGATTTTATTAGCTGAAAATAATGGTTAATGACCACCATGGCCTAGGGACCACTTGCAATCATATGAAAAGAAAATGGCTTCATATCTCTTAGTGGGAAAATTATCCACACCCTGAAAACATTCCTAACTTTCTTGGACTAAAGGTTCCCTATATCACAAAATAACTTACTTTGAACACTATTCACATCTCAAAATGAATTACTACTGATGGTTACTTCAATATATGTGCTTGTTCATGCAGCTAAGCAAAATCTTTTCCATCAGCATCACTGGAAATGTACAGAGGGAATTAACAGAGAAGCAAAATTTCTATTGGGACTTTAACCACATTTCCAGTAAACTAATTTATTCAAAGGGAGTGCTTATTTCCCCCCACTCAGAAGAGCAGTAACAACTATGGTTTCAGAATAAGAAATGTCAAAAAGGAAAAAAAAAAAAAACCTAATCCATTTTCCAGTTGATTATGCATCTCAGTATTAACTCTAGCTTTAAAAGCAAGATCTTGCATCACTTACTCTGGTAGCAAAGACTACGAAATACTGGCTTCATGTTACTTATCAAATTACCTTTATATAACAAAAGTGGGCACCTAAGTTAGATAAGTTCAGCTATCCACTCACCAATGTCAACAATACAAAAATTAATCTCTCCCATATCAAATTAGCATGAGAAATTTCTTAAAACTATAAACCAATAAAATATTAGGAACTTTTCTGAGAAATAAAACCTTATTACATAGTTATGTGGCCATTCATGAGGTGCATACATTTTCAAATTGAATGATTACTACCAAACAAAGCATGTTCATATTGGAAAAGAGAAGAACTTTCTAAGTGAATATATACCAATATTTTATCAATTCTTTCTAGCATGTAAAACTTTTTTTCCTCCCAGGGTAAAACTAGATTATGTTGTCTGGGCTCTTCCTTGTTATGTCAGGCTTAAAGAAACTAATTACATTACTGAAAAGTAAGGGAAGATCTTATAATAAAGAAATTCTGAAGTATCAACACAGATTAGAGTCTTGATCATCTATTTACCTAAATGTCTTTAATAATTTGAAATGGACACTGATGTATACACGTGTGAGCATGTGCATGAATGAACAACATCCCATTTACTTGTTTCTTTGTAAACTTCCAATAGCAAAAGCAGCACATTTAAGATGGAAATAGAAGAGGAAATTAACTTTCTAAGCTTTTCAGATTACCTCTAGTATAGCAACTCTCAAATTACATAGGGGTTTGTAAATCTTTAAAGAAAAATGTGTAAAGTTTGGTCCAAAACAAAAATGATGCTTCAATTTTTTGTGGAAAAATAAAATTCTATTCATTCACTAGATCAAAATTATGGTGCTGCTTAAAGATGAAGAATATTCTATATAGCAACATGAGAATGAAGGTTTTTCCTCCAAAAAGTACATAGTTGCAAATGTACTTCAAAAATTTTAAGTACCTGTATAGGTTGGGCGTGGTGGCTCATGCCTGTAATCCCAGTACTTTGGGAGGCCAAGGTGGGTGGATCACGTGAGGTCAGGAATTCAAAACCAGCCTGGCCAACATGGCAAAACCTTGTCTTTACTAAAAATAGAAAAATTAGCCAGGTGTGGTGGTATGTGCCTGTAATTCCAGCTACTTGGGATGCTGAGGCACCAGAATTGCTTGAACCCAGGAGGCAGAGGTTGCAGAGTGCTGAGATGTGCCACTGCACTCCAGCCTGAGTGACTGAGTGAGACTCTGACTCAAAAAGAAAAAAGAAATGTAAGTATAGGTATCTATCAAGACATCAAACTATAAATGCATGTCTACTCCTGATACGGTCTAATTTTAAATGTTTATAAATTCATTTTCACATCAATTTCAATTGGAGGGGAAGAAACAATGATCCTACACTATCCTCTTTTTCTTTAATTTTAAGAAACAGACACTTTCCCTCTAAATTGCCAGTATAAAGGAGGTTTTAAAAATTATCAAAAGTTGGAAACCAATCTGATTCATCTGTCTATAGATATCAAATGAATGTCAGGCCTTAAGAGGGTAATGTGGTGATATCAAACAGGTAGCAAAAATGCATTGAGCACAGCCAGGGCAGTGACAAGAAAATAATTTGTGGATAAATACAGATGCCACATTAAATAGAGTGTCAAAGATGTAAAACTCAAATCCCCTTTTAAATAAATCTTATCTAAAAGAATGATTATAGAAAATGGGAATGTATGATTTTTTTAATAAAACAATTCTGCTTCAATGCAAATATGTAGTCCAAAATAAAACAAAGAAAAGAAAATGTCTTATGTGACTTAGCACGAACAGTTTCCACAGCCTTTCACACTATTGACAATTTCTTCTTGTAGTTTCTTTCTTTCCTCCTCTTTCGATATATTTTCTTTCTTTGCTTCCCATTTGGTGTTATCATGGTTCTGCACACGGCTGCTCTGTGTATGCCACATTTCTGAATAGATACTATGAGGGTTTGCAAGCAAACCATGGTGGGTACCACGTTCGGCTACCTTACCCTAAAAAGCAAACACATGAGAAACACAGAGAAAGGTCATTTAACTAGCATAATAATTGAAAAATACCAAATACTTTCTAACTAAGGATACTGAAAGATTTGCACTCATTAAAATATCTCTCCTAATTCCTCATACACAGTATAAGTGAAAAAATTTAGGTAGGAATGCTTTCTTCCCTGTTGAACAAACAAAAGGCTATGAAATACTACCATAAACAACATTTTACTTAAAGGAAATAAAATTGTAATATTTCATTTTTCATTTTGAAGGGCAGAAAGGGAAGGTTAAAATGTAAAAAAGTGATATTTTCTGTAATCAGCAAATATTCAAATCAAAAGCACTGTTATTTATACAGGGATTTAACGGAGTTAAAAATAATATCCTGAAATTCTTGTGTGTACTTTGAAATAAAAATGATTTCATGAAATAAAAAAGATTGAATGAAAATGAAAAGTTTAATTCTTCCAGTGGCTATTTTTAACACTAGTTATTAAACTTAACACTATAAAGATTTGGTATAGATTCCAAACTCTGATCTACAATTAATTTGTTTCTTGATAGCTATGGTTAAACATGCTGAGAGACAAAAGGAATTATGTCACTTTTACTGGTATTCCTGGTAACAGGACTTTTACAATATACCCTTAAGTAAAATAACTGAAATTTGCCTGCAACTACGTTTAAGCATTTACATATAATGTTATACTGCTATTTCTTGATTTATTCACTCCTGGCTTTATCTACTGATGTCCTATTATGGAATATTGAGATTCAACACTCATACTATCCCACATTCCTGCTACTCCATCATTTATTTTCCTAATAACATCAGTTACATCACGAACTTTGATTCAGTGTTTACCTTATTATGTCTATGTAAGTATTCCCTGTTGAGCTAAGTAGGTACTAGGATTTTATATATATTTTCTTATACAGTCTTTTAATCCTCCTAGACTTAGTAACTTCCTTGTTTTTCATTTGCTTCGTTTTGTATGTCAGCATTGGAAATCTCTCAAAAGGTTATTACAGAATTATGAAACCCTTTTCAAACAGTAGTTTTCTCATAATCAACTACATTAGGTAGTCTATTAGTTTATTTTCCCCCACCACCCAGAGGTATTCCCTTCAGAGCTTTTAGGTTGTTTTCTGTATCCTCAATTCTGAAACTGTATGATAATGTGCCCTTGTATAGCTTTATTTTTCTTTTCCATTAATTGTGGTGGGTACTCAGTAGGCCCTTTCAATCTAGGAACTCTTGCTCTAAAGTTCTAGACATTTTTTTGGTATTATTTTCAATGGCAAAAACCACAATAACTTTTGCACCAACCTATTATTTGACAATTTCCTCCCCTTTCTCTGGCCTCTCTAGAACTACCAGTAGTCAGATGTTGAACTTTTTAGACAAATTCTCTTGTTTTCTCATCTTTTCTCTATATTTTCTCTTTTTTGGAGATTTCCTTGACTTTATATCAGCAAAGACATTTCTCATTTTGAAAATCTCGTTCTCAGGTCATTCCTTTATTTATTCATTTACCAAAACCTATTTGAAAAATTTAAAATATTTCAAGAGTGACTCAATGAACAACTCTACATGATTCTCCTAGTTTGGCAACTGTTATTTTTCCCTACATTTGCTTTCTCCACCTCACCTTCTCTCTATATATACATGATTTTTTTGCTACACCATCTGAGAATGATTTCCAGACATCATTATATTTCACCCCTAAATATTTCATTAACATGCATCTCCTAAATACAAAGACATTCTCCCATAGGACAGGAATACAACTACATCACACTCAGGAAATTTAACAATGGCCAGCCCTGGTGGCTTATGCCTGTAATCCCAGGTCTTTGGAAGGCTGAGACAAGGGGATTGCTTGAGCCTAGGAGTTCGAGACCAGCCTGGGTAACATCATGAGACGCCCATCTCTATCTTATCTAACATACTGTTCATATTCAAACTTCATCAATTGTACCAATAATGTCCTTTACACTTTTTTCCCATCTAGGATCCAATCAGGATCAACACATTGAATTTATAACACGTTCGTTCTACTATAACACCTTCGTTCTAGTCTGTTTTGTGTGAGACACTAACATTTCCAAAATTTTGTTTTTAAAAGATTGCCTTTCAATTTGTATTTGTCTAGTTGTTTCTGATTATTAGACGCAGACTAGGCTTTTTTTTTTTTTTTTTAAAGAGATAACGGTTTTGCTATGTTGCCAAGGCTCGTCTCGAACTTCTGGGCTCAGGTAATCCTCCCACCTCTGCCTCCCAAAGTGCTGTTATTACTGGCATAAGCCACCACACCCAGCCCAGGTTAAGCATTTTGGGTAGGAAGAAAAGATGATGTATCTTCAGTGCATTACATCAGGAGGTACACAAGTTCAATTTGCTCCACTATTGATATTAGGGTTGATCATTTGGTTAAGGTGACATCAACCAGTTTCTATATTTCTCTATTTTCAACATATTTTTTCTCTAATTAGTAAGTAATCTAAGGTAATTTCAAAACGTGCGAATATTCTAGCCCCGATAGCTTTTTACCATATGGTTTCAGCAACCAGTGATGACCCTTACCTGAATCAATTATTATAATTGTGGTTGTAAAATGTGATTCTCTAAATTTGTAATTCCTTTTACATTTCATGTGTTAGTTGGATTTCTTCTGACAGGGGAATTGTCCTTTTCCCCTTGATAATTTTTGTTTTAGCAGTAGCATCATGGATACATAGATGTTTTTTATTCAAGGTATTATAATTAATTAGTGTCATTATTCTTTTTATTCCCCAGTTGACTAGTAGGTGCTCATTCAAAATGGTTACTGTGTTCTCATGACTTGTGTTCATTAGTTTCCCTGCCCTAGATTGGGAATCAGCTATTTCTCTAAAAAGTCTTGGTTCCTTTAAGTGAGGAACAGTATTTAGTGCCCAAGATCTGGATGCCAAGTATACTCATTACTACTGGGTTTTCACTGCTTCTAGGCCTCTTCAGTGCATAGAGTTATGACATTGCTTTTAAGTCATAAATTCAAACCAATAATTCTATTCCAATATAACATTATTAGGCTCTCCTCTTCTTTGTCATTCTATATTTGTATCTTTCTTCTCCCAAGAGATCTGTTTCCCAACATCAATATATTTACTCATAAGCTCAGTCTTAAACTATACACAAAAACAGTCTACAAATGGTTAGCCCCACACTACTACCAAAACAAACTAAATTCAAATTTCTTTTGGGTTATTTTTGTCTTTATAATATATTCCACGACGGGTATATAATCAAAGTAATATGTTCAAAAGTTACTTGGCTTAATTCTATTTTTCTTCTTTGTGGTTATGTTAGCAATTTGATATGCAGTTAGTTTTACTTCTTTCTGTTTGTATTCAATTTTTATTTTTCTCCTGTCCTTGTTGATTTAATTTTATTTTTGAACGTATAAAAACACTAAGCATGGGTCAAAAGTAAAAGAAACATTAAAACTTCATTCTCTTTTCTGAATCTCTTCTAACCCTTTGTACCCGCATCCCATAGGAGCCAGCTGCTTTAGTTTCTGATGTATCCTTTGAATTTCTTTTTGCAAAAATAAGCAGATACACATATATTCTTTTTCCCTATCTTTGCAAAAGCTAGCATGCTATACTATATTCTCTTTTGCATCTCACTTTATTTTTTACTTACCAATATATCCTACAGATCATGCCATATAAGTTTCCTTTACTTTTGTTTTTAATTTTTGGGGACAGAGTCTCGCTATGTTGTCCAGGCTGGTCTCCACCTCCTGGGATCAAGTCATCCTCTCACCTCAGCCTCCCAAGTAGCTGGGATTATAGGTTACTTTTTTTTTCTTCTGTCCTTATTTTAGAAATACCGTATTTTCCATGATCTCTCAGCAGATTACTAAAGTCTACATTTTCCATTGAGTTCTTTTTTTTCTGTTTGTTTTGGAGGTCTATCCACTGACATTTAAGAATAGAGCATTAAAAGGCTGACTGGAAGCTCTGTGTGCATAAAGATGCCTTCTAAACCAGTGAACTTCATGGTAGGATGATTATGTAGATATCTGGATATTTTGTTGGGGTTCCCAAATACATTTTTTTTTTTTTTTGCCTGGGGCTGCTTTTGTTTCTCCAGAGAAGAATCCTCCAATTATCTGCTGATGAGGGAAGGAGTAGTGACAGTAGTGATGAACAACTGGTTGGCAAAGTTCTTGGAGCCAGTGGTACAAGAGAGTCTGTGGTCCTATCCTTTGGTATGTTATGATTTTTTGTTAATCTCTCCCTTAATTGTTAATGTGCTTGGTGGTTTGCTTGTGTCCAAAGACACTAATTTCCTGATAAGTAAATCTCCAGCCTCTTGCTAAGGTTAGGAAGGGGTATAAACACCAGGCTGTGGGGCTGAGAAAGGGGCCTGGGAACTTTATTTCTTATGTAGACTTACACTTAATTCTGTTACTTTTAACCTCATGCTTATCACCACTTTTCATCATACCTGGTGCCTCCAATTCCTGAGCCTTTTCAAAAGGGGTCTACAATATGAATCAACTTGCTTTTTTTTAATTGATGTCTCTCTCTTTCGACACACAGTATTCAACTTTTTAGTTCTGCTAATCTATCTATTTACCAGTTTCCCCCAATTTGCTGATATCTCTTGTCCACTGTTATTTCCTCTCTTGTTATCTTTATCCATATGGCTTTATACATATTATACTTATTTTATTTCTTCACTTTCATTTTAGTATGGTTAGGAGAAGAAGAGATAAACAAATGTATCCAACCTTCCACATTTAACTAGAAGTTCCCTAGATATGCCATCTTAACATTAACACTACTATAAGAAATTGCTGACAGAACACAGAAGGTGATAGACTATTAGTCAAAGCTAAGGTTATATTAGTTTCACTAGAAAATGAAAATCCGTTATCTTCATAATCAGACAACTATAGAATCACCAAATCATGAATATAAAGAGATTCTTGTTTAGATACAGGTGCCATGATCATTAATAAATTAGGTCCACTTATAATCCAAAACCCAAGTGGCAATGGTATAAAATAAGTGTATAGATACTGTGAATTTCATGGCATGAGGCAGGTAATCATATGCCTGCTAACGTATTTTAACAACTTCTATTTGTAAGAAAAGGCTCTCACTACATGGCTGCATAGAATCAGAAAGCTTATAAAAAAAGTAGCAAATTTTATTTAAGATTCTTGAACATCAATGATATAATAAAGTATATTTACAAAATTTCCCATTTAAGACATTCTGGTACAACCATACTGGAAAAATCAGTTTGCTAATGAATGTAAATGTTTATGAACAAACCAACAGAAAGGCCTAGGGTTACAAGTACGCAAGCAACTTATTAAGGTAATAGTATACAAACCACAACACTGAATACCCTATAAGAAATTTTAGTGGAGTGAGAAAGTCCCTCTAAATAGCTCATTATACAGACAGTACATGAGAATGTTTCTCTCTAAACTCTTAGTACACAGATTTTCAAAGGGCGTGGTAGTTCACTCCTGTAATCCTAGCACTTTGTGAGGCTGAGGCAGGCAGGTTGCTTCAGCTCAGGAGTTCGAGACCAACCTGGGCAACATGGTGAAACCCTATCTCTACAGAAAATTAGCCGGGCATGGTGGCACGTGCCTGTAGTCCCAGCTACTTGTGGGTCTGAGATGGGAGGATTGCTTGAGCCCAGGAGGCTGAGGCTGCAGTGAGCCAAGATTGCGCCACTGCACTCCTGGATGACAAAGTAAGATGCTGTCTCAAAAAGAAAAAACAAAAAGCAAAATGATAAAGAATTAAAGATATATTTATTAGAAGGGAAAAACAATGATAGAAAAGGGGGAATGTAGGGTGGAAAACTGCATAATGTCAGAAATAAGTACTAGGGGGATGTGGGGAGAAGAGGGCCTTACAGAAAGGAGAAAAGAAAAATTACTGCAATTTTCAAATCTGCCCATCACAATAGTGGTACTCTGATTGATTTAGACTTTTAGATAGTATACTCGTATAGTAATTCCCTTATAAGGGATGAAGCAGACTATCTTTTTTCTTACTTTCCTGAGAAGGAAAAACATATAATAAAAATGACCACGTTTGAAAATGATCACTTTATGGTAATTTTCTTTTAACCATCAAGGTTATGTGCAGGTATTAGAAAAATAATAATGTACAATATAGCAAAGACACTGAGCAAAGAGTCTATTCAGAGAAAAAATGAATGCAGAAAAGTTATTTTATATATGTACCATTGAAGACCTGCTTCTGTCGTGAAGGTTTAATGCTTTCCTGATTAAACTTCTGCTTGTAATACTTTAATAGAGAGTGAGTTAATATAGTTTATTCCTTCTTGGAAGTGATATGCATTATTTCCAACCAAAAGGGGCTAAAGCCAGAATCTTACCAGGATTCAATCTCAACCAAATAATGTAAGAAACAATATTTAAGCTTCTTATATCTATAACAATTTCAGGTGTTCCTCAAATACTAAACTTTAAAGTTAAATCTCTTACCTGGTCCAAGACAATGATTTCATCTGCATCAACTACTGTTGACAATCTGTGTGCAATGAAAATAGAAGTTCTGTGTTTGACCACATCCTTCATGGCACCAAGAATAGTCTGCAAGTTTGATAATATGAAGAACAGAAGAAAAAAAAGGAATTAGTCATTAGGCAAATGTAAATTAAAATAATCATATATTTCCTAAAGAAACATATAAAATGCCAGTTAATCTTTTATTATGTAAACTTTATACTGATACCAAATATTAGACTTACTCTCATAATTGCTAAGAGGAAGAGCAGAAAGCAAAAAGAGAAGGCAAATATGACCACATGATCATGGAAAAAAATTCTTTAATATAGGCAATATTTCTCTAAATTACAAAATCTGGGAGAAAGTAGATATTTTCTATATAAGTAAATAAATAAACAACAGCTCTCATGATATCAGGAACATAGCCATATATGATATTTACCAATGAGAACAAAACTAAAATGAGGACAGACTTAAGCGATAGAACACAGAGAAATTCAAAACAATCCAAAGGTAGAGAGACTCAAAGAGTACAGGAACATTTGTTTTTCCTTAGTTCAAACTCAGAGGACAGAAGGGAAAACAAAGACAACCGTATATTTTTAACTGCAGAAACCTCTTTTTCAAAAGCATTTTGACTTCCTAATGCATCCTGGAAATACATTTTTGTTTATTCCCTGTAAAGTGTAAGAGTTGTATATATATTCGGCAATACTTAAAAACCTGGGTCTAAGCAAGTTAGATGGAAATAGCAGTGTGGGGGATGGGGATATACCCAAATTTCCTATGGATATTTCTAAACATTTTATTTATTAAAGGTATAAAATTATCAAGAGCAGATAGTTACCCAGGAAAAAAATCTTGTATTTTACTAGGGCAGACTGATAATAAGGTACAGGGCCAATATTAAGAAAGCCTGTTATGTCTGTGAGGAGTCCTTTTTTTTATCTTTAAGTAAACTCTGACATCCTACTGAAGACTCTGGACCTTTTAAAAAGGCCTATTAAAATTTACCAAATCTTCCAGTAACTCCTTCCCTTGGGGGATTGTCTGTGAGCTCCTAATGGGTTATGCTCTCTGACATAATAAACTATGTGACTCAAATAATGACTGTTAGTAGGTCCTTTAGTTTGTGGTAGTAAGACACATTTTTAGGTATAAAATTCTGATAAGCATGTTCCTACTTTTCCTATGAACAGTGTCTGGTCCTGCTTATGGTTCACTTTAAATATAACAAATCCCCATGCTAACCAATTCACTTCAAAATTAAATTGCTTTAAATATGCTGCAGATCAAACAATGGGTACTGAAACTTAACTCTGTATGCAAATATTACGTCATATAGCCTGCAAAGTTGAATTAGGCCTATCCTTCAACACTAGGTTTATACTATGCATTGAATTAAAAGGTAATTGAATGAAGGCAATTGACAAATGCATCTGCTTATTTTCAGTTCTAGATTAAGGGGATATGATACTGAAATTACCATTGTTGTTGAGACTTTTGTATGTAATGTAAAGATGTTGCTATGAAATCTAATGCAGTTGTGGGGTAATGTCATGATATCGGTGTCACATCTTGATGTTTCATAACACTTCCAGTGAAACGAATACAAATTGATACCAGCACTGCATGTGTGCCTGACTTGAATCTCATAAGTTGCTCTATAAGTGAAAGGCTTTCTGGTATGTACTGTGTCACAGGTGTCACAATCACTTCCACTACTATTTCAATGAGTGTTAAGTGGCAATAGGAGAGGGACTAAAACTTTCTTCCTTTGTCAATATATTAGGTAATTCCTGTAGCTTTGCAAGATGCAAGGGCAATAAAACAACTGCATAAGGTATCACATGGTTCCAAAAAGAGACACATTTGCAAATGGACTTAAAACTGTGCTATCTCTAATTCAATGCAACCTGGCATTCTTACCACCAACACTTGTCATATAGAAAAAAGGGAATAGGCATTTTGCTCTATAGCACTTCCTATTGAAGTTCATTCAAAATACAGACTAATGCAGCCATTTACTGAAACTTTCAAGTAGAAAAGTTAAACACTGCAGAGCTTTATTTTAATCATAACTTACCTCTTCAGTAATCGAATCTAATGATGAAGTAGCTTCATCATAGAGAATGACTGGGGGGTCCTTCAAAATGGCTCTTGCAATTGCTACTCTTTGCTTTTCTCCTCCTGGTAAAGAAAAATTTTACTTTCAGAAGCATAGTGTAGGCATATTTTATGTTTCTAGTGTTTCCATTGATTACAATCACCAAGTAATACATTGAACATTTCCCTAATTCTCCTGATCACAGTTCATTTTACTGAGTTGTAGAGTTGAAGTTCATATGTAATATCTTTTGACAATTATATTCCCTGAAACATGAATGCATAGGAGGTGGAAAAAATGAGAATGAGGCAGGATGGTAACAACTCTGATTCTACTATTATTCTTCTACCAGAAGTATGCTTATTATATATATTACTTTATATTACAGATAATTCTCAGTGAACAGCAATCTCAGAAAAATTTCAATGACAGAATTGACAATGCCAAAAAAACCAATATCTAAAACCTGTAAACTTCAAGACGTTAAACTATGAATAACTGAATTCTCTTAAGATAAAAAGATAGCATTCAGCCGGTATTCTCAAGGAATGTTTTGATAGAAAGCTATTATTTTTACAGCATTCTTCAAAGTTAAGGGCATATAGTAGATACCTCTTCCTTTATTTAGGTATTTATTATAGATCTCTAGCATATTGCATTTTTAAAATAGAAAGGAGACAGGCCCAGAAAAGTTAAGTGATTTGCTCAAGGTCACAGAGCGAGAATCTGGATTAGACTCATTCCAGTCCGATGCTCTTCTTATCACAATGTATAAGCCCACATTTATTCCTAAATACAAGAATAAATATTTAGAAAGTATTTCCTAAATAAATAGTGAAAATATGTAGTGAAATGTGTAGAAACCTTTCTTTTATCACTGGGACTACTGTAGGTCTAAGGTCACCAACCTTATATAGAACTATAGTTGGAAGTACAGAAGATGGTACTCTGCTGAATATGTCCCTTTTAGCTTCTTGTCTATTACACATCATTAATGTCTGAAAAAAACATATTTTTCAGCTTAAGTAAACTTTTTAGGAAATAAGCTCTAATTGTTATCTGGTACAGTTAAATATTTTTATTTTTACTTGTCCTACAATTATCTTTGACCTATAAAGGGGATCCTTATTTTAAATATTAGTAAGTTTAAATTCATGCTAGATATATTCTTCCCCACCTCACAAGATTAAAATTCTCCTAACAAGGCAGGTACCATAAGAACCATCTTCCTGCTTATCTATCAACCCAGTAGCACAAAGCTCCTTAAAGAAGTAGATACTCGGGAAGGACTAGTTTTGAAGTGCCTCTCAAATTTCAAGTGAAAGTCAACTCAGTTGTAATTCTATTCAATAGTATTCTGGAACTTGTAGAATAAATGTCTGTTTATTAGCTCTAACATAATTATTAGCACAGCTGCTAAATAATAAACTGCTCATTTTGAGAGGTTTAGTTGTAAGGAAATGGGAAATAGGTAAGAATAAAATTTCTTTAGCCATTCCTATCCCCCAAAGGCATGTGTAAAGGAAAAATAAGATTAGAAAATGGAACACAGCATAGCTGGCTGAGGCAAAGTCATGCATTAAGAGGGCTAGTTTATGTTACATGATAAATTGGGGATCACCAGAATTAGCCAAACGGACATATAATTTGGGCATGGGCCAGGTAGTTGGAAATTACTCCTATTAAAAGTAGTAATAAAATGTAAAGGTAGACTGGAATGATACAGGCATCTTATATTACCAGGTAATGACCAAATCAACTTAACTTGAAAATAAATAATCTTTGCTTAAGATTTTCTAAACCTAGCCCAAAACTTTCTAAGAGACTGCAAATTCGGGTATACAGGCCTGTTTTTGCTTTTTTTTTTTTTTTTTTTTTTTTTAAATTTCCAAATCATTTAGCGTAGTAGCTTGTGCACATAGTGTGTATTTAATAAACATTGTAAATAAACGAAGCCAGTTTGTAATGAAGAGGAATGAGGATTCATTAAAATTCATATAGAGCATTTCTCATTCTATTTTTGCCTTACCTTTATCTATAATCAATACATTTCTTCCCCAAACTAAACTAGACATCAGTATACTTTTGAAATACAAATAATCTGGGGGTAAATAAACATTTTTCTGTGTCCTCCAAAAAAAATCAGTCATTTTAGGGTAACTCATTATAAACCTAGTAATCTCATAATTAAAGATTTAACAAGAAATGTATAAGCCACAAAACATCCTTGGCCACAGAACACACAAGGACATGAAAGTGAAGTTGGCTGTAAGGAAAGTATAGCAGTTAACAGGATCAAATATAAGGAGGTCGAAAGTACTGAAAACATCTTCTAATGATCTAGGAAGTTATGGTAAGAGATATACAGTATTCACTATCAAATTACCTCTCCCTACCCTTACTACTTTCCCAAGAATGATCTTGTTTTTCCTTTATCATGAAGACTGTGGATAACAAGTTAGCAATGATCTGAGCATATTTTGGTAACTTACTTAATATGAAATACCTACACTATTAGCAGCTGCAAGTGAAAAAAAAAAGACTTGCATGACTTGAGAATAGTTACTAGTTATGTTGAATTGGTTGTAGTGAGGGCTAGATTAATAACCCCATAAAATGTGACTCAGTAAGCACTAGGTTTGAAGTCTCTCATTACATTTTCTAAAAAGTGGCTCTGACAAATTAGAGTTTGGGCAGGTCTAAAATCTCTGATCACCTGAAAGCTTGAGTCCTCGTTCCCCTACTTGGGTGTCGTATCCATGTGGCATTCGAAGAATTGCATCATGAAGTCCAGCTAATTTTGCCACCGCATACACTTCCTCAGGTGAAGCACTGATGTTCCCATATAAGAGGTTGTAATAAATAGTATTATGGAAGAGGACAGCATCCTGAAGCAGATATACTGAATGAATATATATATATATATATATATATGTATATGTATATATTCATGATTAAAAATTCAAATAGTAAAGAGACAAAGGCTTAAAGGGTAAATCATGACAGTTCCTTTCATCATCCTTCATCTGTGATATCCCATTCCCTTCCCAGATGTAGTCACCATAAACAATTTGGTGTGTATCATTCCAGACTTCTTTTTGTGAATTTACATACCTAAACATATGCTTTTTCCCCCAACACAAGTGTGGTCATTTTATACATATTATTTTGCAATTGCTTTTTTCACTTAATGTATCCCAGAGACTGTCCATGTCAATAACAGAACACTAACTCATTCTTTTTAAGAGTTGTGCATTCCATACTATGGGAACATCATAATTTATTTATACATTCTCTTACTGATGGACACTGATGTGATTTCCAAATTTTTGCTACTACAATGTTGGCATATATGACTTTGTACAACTGTGTGTTTCTGTAAGAAGATCCCTCGAAGTAGACTGATGAGTTTAAAGTTAAGCATACATTTATTCTTTTGATAATATTGCCAAATGTCTTCCAAAAATGGCTCTACCAGCAACCAATAATGTATAAGTACGTGCTAACCAGTAGTATATGAGGGTACCAGTTTCTCATATCATCAGACACTCTGGATATTAATACTTTTTAGTTATTGCTACTCTTAGGGGAGAAATGTGCTTTTTGTTTAAAGTAGCATTTCCCTCATTACTAATGAGGTTTCAATATGTTTTCCCATGTTTCTAAGAAGCTTTGATATTGATATTAAAACAAAACAATTCATGCACTATATATATTTTTAGAGAAAGTTCACTGCAAGCATTCATTTGATATTTCTACTTATTCTTACATTGCACACCAAAGCTAATTTACTTAAAGTAAGCATCCATGCCCCATTTTTCTTTCAGTCTCTAAATGGTTGGAAGGCTATAGTTAGGTGAAATAAAATGATTCCATTAGTTCACATTAACCAGGACACCCGTCTTCTTTAACATCATGAACAGATCAAGAATTTCATATATTACTTTAAATAATATTTAAATCATTTATATACTGATTAATAAAATTCCTCATATGGAGATAATACCTAAACTCAATAAGCTCATTGTATAAACAGAAACTGCTTATTTTTAAATAATTTACATTGAGGGAAAAGTTAAACATACTAACCAGAAAATCTGAAAATATAAAAACTAATATAAAACTAAATACTAGATTTTTTGGTGTAACTTTTGCTAAATGGGGAGATTTTAGCAGCTCTAGCCACAAAAGCATGGGTAACTGTGAGATGATGGGCTTGTTAATTTGCTTCTCTAAAGTAAGCTAATTATCTATATGTATCTCATACCATCATATTAGATACCTTAAATATATAAAATAACATTTAATCAATTAAAATTTAATCCGTATTCCCATCACCTAGCAATATCTACCATTACATTTTGGCATATTTTCTTTTTTCTCTACTGAAATGTATTCATTTAATATTATAAAATCAGGATATTATATTTTGCTTGGAATCCTCCTTCTTAATACTTTGTATTTGCGTATTTTTTATGACAATAATCTTTAAAAACACAGTATTTATGAATGGTTGCATGACTCTGATCCTATGATAATAATGTAACCATCCACTTTCTGTTGGACATTTACATTGTTTTGAACTGATGCTACTATAAATAATGCTGTAATGAACATCTTTATATATAAAGACTTGTTCACATGTCTGTTTATTTCTTTACTAAAATTTCCCAGAGGCAGAATTATTGGAAAAAAGGATATGAATATTTTTCAGGCACTTGATACACATTGCCAATCTGCTTGTCAGGAAAGCTGTATGCTGCCATCAGCAAAACAACAGATTGTCCATTTTACATGGCCTTGCCCAAATTGGATATTAGGAATTTCAAAATCCTTGCCAATCTGACAGGTAAAAAAATGACACATATCCTGTAGCAGATTTAATTTATATTGCTAAGGCCTCCAATGAGGATGAGAGTCTTTTGTTTACTGATCATGTATATTTTCCCTTTGTGAATGTGTTACTTCTCAAAAGGATGAGGATAATTGTTAGAATGCCCAAGAAAATGGCAGGAATCTATTTACATGCATGAGGCCACTGAATGCTAAGTAGTCACAGCTCAAAATCCAGTTCACTTGACAGTTTAGATCTGTGTTTCTTTTGTTTTTGAGATGGAGTCTCCCTCTGTTGCCCAGGCTGCAGTGCAATGGCACAATCTCAGCTCACTGCAACCTCTGCCTCCCGGGTTCAAGCGATTCTCCTGCTTCAGCTTCCCAAGTAGCTGGGATTACAGGCGCCTGCCACCATGCCTGGCTAATTTTTGTATTTTTAGTAGAGACGGGGTTTCACCATGCTGGCCAGGCTGGTCTCGAACTACCAACCTGAGGCGATCTGCCCGCCTTGGCCTCCCAAAGTGCTGGGATTACAGGAGTGAGACACCGTGCGCGGCCTAGATTAGTGTTTCTTAACATACAGTCTATGAAGCAACTATATCAGAATCACCTATGAGGCATTTTCAAAAAGGCAGATTTCTGGGCCCCCTACAGTCCTCCAAAATCATAACTAATACAATTTAAATGATCTGGATTATTTAATTTTTTAAATTTATAAATGCTATCGTATATATTTAAGGTATAGAATATGATGTTATGAGATACATATAGATAGTAAAATGATGACTATAGTGAAGCAAATTACCATATCCATCATCTCTCATAGTTACCCAATAATTTCTCTAGGTGACTCCTGCTGACTAACGTGGGATTCTCAGTGAAAAGGAGCGCAGAGAAGAGTGTCATGTGTGGGATCATTTGGGGGACCTTTTGCAAGCTTCATATCCCTGTCCAATCACTTTCTTACAGTTCTTTCTTTCCCCATATTTTGATCTATTCTCCCAGGGATCTGATTCTGGCTCCAGAAATCAACTTTATAATACATACTAGCTGCAACTAATTCCCAGGTCTCTCTATTAGCTCTCATCACAAAAAAAGCTCACATCCTATAAGGCTATCTACTTCTTTACTTCTCAGATCTTACTTTGAATTTATTTTCCCTCCAAAGTCACACAGGAAATATTTATTAAATGCTTAACACGGGTTAGGCACTGTGCTTGGTACTGAGGGCAGAGTGATTAACAAGGCATACAAAGTTGAGGCTGGTAGCCAAGCTACTTTGTAATTATTATAAATTTACTATGTTGAAAGCTGTTCCAAATTACAATAGTTTTCATTTACTGAAAAACTTTGTGGCAGACATTGAACTTCATATTTTACACTTACTATCTCTAATCCATAACAATAATTCTATCCTGTAAGATAAATGGTATCCTTATTTTACAGATGGGAAAAAGGAGGCCCCAGGCCACAGAACTAATGAGGGTTAGAGCTGGGGTTAGAATTCAGGTCTGTGCTCTTTCTATTCTATTATACTATCATTCCAGGGCTTAGATATCTTCCTACTATGCAGATTTTCCATTCAAGTTATTTCTTTTTCCTTTTTTTGGGACGGAGTCCTGCTCTTTCACCAGGCTGGAGTGCAGTGGCCCAATCTCGGCTCACTACAACCTCTACCTACCAGGTTCAAGTGATTCCCCTGCCTCAGTCTCCCAAGTAGCTGTGATTACAGGCACACGCAACCATGCCCGGCTTTTTGTATTTTTTAGTAGAGATGGGGTTTGACCATGTTGGCCAGGATGGTCTCAACCTCCTGACCTCGTGATCCACCCACCTCCACCTCCCAAAGTGCTGGGATTACAGGCGTGAGCCACCGTGCCAGGCCTCTTCTTTTCCTTTTCCAAAAAAATTCCTTTTGGTAACAGAATTTCACTGGTAGGGTCTAATACTACCTACTTTAGTAGCATATGTTGATCCCTTGATTCAAATTGTTCTAGTTATAGATCCGTCAACCCAAAAAATCTCCCCCATTTTTTTTTAAATACCTGAGGTACCACTCCCACTGCCCTCCGAAGGCTTTCCAGGCTCACATCTTGTATATTTTGACCAGCAAGATAAATGCTACCCTTTTGAGGCTCATAGAAGCGAAACAATAGCCTCACTATTGTGCTTTTCCTGAAATTGAACATGAAGAAAGGTTATTTAGCTCCTATTAATGTTAGGGAACTCCAGTAATGATTACTGGAGTAATTACCACAATAATCATTGTTATCATAATTAAGAAAAAAATTACATTGGGAATCATCAGTCTATAATACAGAATTTTATAAATAACTAAATTACCTACCCTGACCCACTACCTCCTACAATGGCCACTTTCTTTCCTGCAGGGACTTCAAAGGATATTCCACTAAGGACTTTCTGGCCCTCAATGTATTCAAAATGCACATTATCAAAGGCCACGGTAGCTGTCTGTGGTGTGATCTGAAGGGGTGATGCCATCACTTTGTCCTACCAGGGAAAAGAAAAAAAAAAAAAAGCCACTTTACACACTGTCTAGAGTACAGCTATGAAGACAATTTTCTAATTTGCAGAAAGAAAAAGGAAATAATGGAAAAGAAGGAGGTTTATAAGTGGACTTAGACCACTTCCAAGCATGCATGTAAAGAGTTGTTTTCTCACTCTTCACGGCTAAGGTAAAAAAATCCTGAATGTTTTGGTTTCTGAGCAACTTTTTGTGCGGTACGGGTAGGGAGGGAGAATGGATGATGGGCAGGGGAGAAAAGGGGTTGAGGATGTGAGGAGAGGCAATCATGCATTCTGTGTCATCATTAGCATAAGGAAATACAGTGTAAGTAGAAATAATTCAATGTAACAAAATTTGCTTTCTAGTATAATAGTCTTCGTTAACATGGTAAGGTTTTTAAACATAGAAGTGAAAGCTGTAACAACCTCTCAATACAGGTGATAGCTCCCCCCACCGCCCCAGCCCAATTCCTGCAAGTTAAAGAAATTGGTTTGCTAACAGGGTGATGCAGGAATATTCCTAGAATAATCCTACTAATGGGATGATGTTCACATACTTTTGAAAAGGTACTATATAGATTACTTACTTTAATTCGGGTGTCTACCTTGAGCAGAGTAAACAAGGTATTCATATCTATGAGTGCTTGTCTAGTCTCTCTATATACAGTTCCCAGAAAGTTCAGGGGTAATGAAAGCTGAAAAAGCAGTCCATTCACCATTACTAGATCTCCAACAGTAAGGGTACCTTAATATGCAATTGGCAGAAGAAAAAAAAAGGATATTTTAGATAAATGTTATATACTTTTCCAATTTAAGAGAGACACTTAATTACTAGGGAATACAGTTCAAAATATACTTAATCAGCAACAACTCTTATGTCAGCTCAATTTCAAAGCATTAATCCATGATTTTAGTAATACGGGTAACTTAATATACATTAAGTGGAATGGGAAAGGCCCACCTATATACTATATATAATATATAAAAAAAGAATGGTTTGAGGATAGAAATGGAAGGCTAAAATTTTTTTCTTTTTTACCCTAAGACACTAGCAATGGTTTTTTTTGTAGGGTAAAATAGAAATTTAAAAAGTAGTATACATTAAAAATTAGAGAAAATAGATATCATAATTAAGGATGATAAACCATTCTGACGTACATCAAGTTGAAGGAAACAAAACAACAACAAAAAATGTATGCCACATATTTAGGTCACAGTGAATGAATGAATACTAACTGAGTGGGGGGTGGTTTACAGAAAGGAGGCTCAGACATGAACTTTTGAAGTGTTTCGCAAATAAAAAAAAGGGGTAGAAAGATTAAAAGGTTTCTGGTAATTCTTCAAAAAGACTGTTTGCAGTCTCATCATTTGAACTAAACACTAAATTAATTGCACTGCTTTACAGGTCTACAAGAGAAATTAGAAAAACTAGATGTTAAAAAATTGTTCTTAAAAGATCAAGTAGCAGACCCATACAATCTACAAACAGTAATCCCGATCAATGAGTGAGCCGGTGCTAAACAAAAGGAATTTAAAAAACCATTATCAAACAATCAAGAAAATACATTCTGATACAAAAAGAAAAGTATTCCAAGAATGTTTAAGCACTTTAACATCCTTTATAATTAAGATAAACATACATATTCTTTTCATTAATCTTTATTTATAAAAGTTGAACAGCCTATAAATGTGATGGCCACAAACCCATTACCTGCCACAATTCCCTGACTGGCGAGCACCATTATAGCTGTTAAACCGACGCTGAAAATAGCACTTTGACCAAAGTTCAGCATAGCCAGAGTAGAGGTACTTTTCAATGAAGCAGTCTCGTACGTCTTCAAAAATCCATCATATCTCTGTGCTTCATACCTTTCATTATTAAAATACTAAAAAATATATAAAAATAACTATGGGCAAGTATAATTAGAATTTATTCTCTTAAGTGATTAGTATACTTGTCATCAGATTTCATGTATGAATACAATTTTGTACTGCAGATTCCATTTTAAAAATTGACTTTCAATATATTGGACTATAATATCCCTGCAGTTTTCCACAATGAATGATATTTGAAAAGTCCACAAAATTCACCCTACGAACATTTACTGAATGCTTAGCTAATTCCAACCCAGATCTAAAACAAAATTAAAACAAAATCTTCAATGATATTTCCTTCACAAAGCCTTCCCTGAGAATTGACAATTCCCACTGCCCTCATCACATTATGCCTTCTTATCTAGTCACCTGCATACTTACTTTAATTTTCTCAGTATAGTATAAAATTCTAGGAGAGCAAGGATTAAAAAGTAATCCTTTTTTTTAAATCACACTCCCCTATCAAAGCAGTTAGAACACACAAGAGGCATTCAGTAACTATTTGTTAAATGGAAAAATGAAGAAATAAATGAAAGAATTAATGGGAAGCACTATGCTAGGCACTCTGAAGGATAGAAGAGGGTCAAGAATTTATATGTCAATTTGATTGGCTTAATGTTCATTCGGAATCAAGATGCTAATGGTATACGGTCACGCATCACTTAACAATGGAGCTATGTTCTGAGAAATACACACTTTAGGTAATTTTTGACACTGTATGATCATCATAGAGTGTACTTACACAAACCTAGATGGTATAGGCTACTACTCACCTAGGCTATACTGTATAGCCTATTGCTCCTAGGCTATAAATCTGTACAGCATGTTACTGTATTGAATATTGTAGAAAACTGTAACACAATGGTATTTGTGTATCTAAATACAGAAAAGGTACAGTAAAAATACGGTAAAGAAGATTTACAATGGTATATCTGTATAGAGCGCTTACCATGAATGGATCTTGCAGGACAGGAAGTTGTTCTAGGTGAGTCAGTGAGTGAGTGGTGAGTGAATATGAAAGCCTAGGGCATTACTGTATACTACTGTAGACTTCATAAACACTGTACACTTAGGCTACACTAAATTTGTTTAATATTTTCTTTCCTCAATAATAAAATTAGCTTACTGTAACTTTTTAAAGTTACAAATTTAAAATTTTAAAAGGTTTTTACTCTTTTTAATAACACTTAGCTTAAAACACAAACATATTGTACAGCTGTATAAAAATATTTTCTTTCTTCATATCCTTATTCTATAGGCTTTTTTTCCTATTTATTTATTTATTTATTTACTTTTTAAACTTTTTTGTTAAAAACTAAGACATAATCACACACATTAGCCTAGGCCTACATAGGGTCAGGATCAAATATCACTGTCTTCTACCTCTACCTCTTGTTTCACTGGAAGGTCTTTGGGGGCAATAACAGGCATGGAGCTGTTATCTCCTATGATAACAATGCCTTGTTCAGCAGTATCTCCTGAAGGACTTACCTGAGGCTATTTTACAGTTAACTTCGTTTTTAGAAGTAGACGAGTACACTCTAAAGTAATGATAAAAGTATAGACGTGTACTAGATAACATAGTAGTTTATCATTATCAAATATTATATGACAGGTGGTAAAGTGGGTTTGTTTACATCAGCATTACCACAAACACGTAAGTAATAGAGTAATGAATTGTGCTACATTACAATGTCACTTGCTGACAGGAACTTCTCAGTTCCATTATTATCTTATGAGACCAACATCACAGACGCAGTTTATCGCTGACCAAAACATCACTATGCAGTGCATGACTGTATTTATGATTACTTATAAGTTAATTCAGAAGGTAAAAATCTGATAGTGCCAAGCAAAAACTGAGAAGGAAACAAAGGATAGTTTCTAAACAAAAGAGAAACAATAAAATAGTTTTTATTCCATCACACCTAGAGGTTATATCCAAACCTGAAGCTCTAACTTATACTACCTATTAAATTAAATGGTAACAAATCTTAGTACAGTGTGAAAGGCAAAGGAAAGTATAAGTAAACATATTACCTTCACAGTTTCATAATTCAGCAGTGAGTCTATAGCAGCATTACCTGCATCATTATCTGCTTTGTTCATTTCTATTCTAAATCTAGTTCTGTAAGACAAACAGTTGCACAGTCATGAAATACAGGTTATAAAAGCATAATTAATTTCTAAATTTTATGTGGCTTCTAGGCAATAAATTACCTCCACCGTGTGACTGCAACTGTGAATGCTGTGTATGTACCAAGTGTTCCGAGGGTTACCAAAGCAAACTGGGCACCGCATTTGTAATACTAGAAAAGGATGTCAAAAGAAGAAATGAGAAACGGTTATTGTGCTTGCCAAATAGTTTATAATACACAACAGTAAATCCCACTCAAAAGATTGTGACAAAAATATGGTGGTGGGAAGTTATGTATGTGAATGATGGGTAAAAAAATCGAATGCTTTAGAAAATCTACTTTAGGCAACAAGGGAAGAAAGTCAAACTGCACTTCCTACATCAAAAGTACCATCAAATACTAACAGGAAGATAGTACAATAAGCCTAAAGAGGAATAAACATATACATGGATATATATATTCACTTTTAACTATAAAAGGTGAAATTATTAATCATTAGAGAAATGCAAATCAAAACCACAATGAGATATCATCTCAGACCAGTCAGAATGGCTATTACTAACAAGTCAAAAAATAACAGATGTTGTCAAGATTGTGGAGAAAAGGGAACACTTACATGCTGCTGGTGAAAATGGAAATTAGTTCAGCCACTATGAGAAGCAGTTGGGAGATTTCTCAAAGAACTTTAAACAGAATTACCATTTGATCCATCAATCCCATTACTGGGTATATATAGTCAAAAGAATATAAATCATTCCACCATAAAGACACATAAACACATATCTTCATTGCAGCACTATTCACAATGGCGAAGTCATGGATGCTGACCAATGGTGGATTAAATAAAGAAAATGTGGTACATGTACACCATGGAATACTATGCAGCCATGAAAAACAAATTCATGTCCTTTGCAGCAACATGGATGCATCTGGAGACCATTATCCTAAGTGAATTAACTCAGGAACAGAAAACCAAATACCACATGTTCTCACTTATAAGTGGGAGCTAAACAATGGGTATACACGGACACAACAAGGGGACTGGACACTGGGGCCTACTTGAGAGTGGAGGGTGGCAGATGGGTAAGGATCAAAAAACTACCTATTAGGTACTATGCTCACTACCTGGGTGATTAAATAATTTGTACATCAAACCCCCGTGACACACAATTTACCCATGTAACAAACTTGCACAGGTACCCCCAAACCTAAAAGCTGAACAGAAAAAAAAAATGAAAGGTGAAACTGCCTAAAATGTTATGAATGGTGATGGGAAATCTAGATATTCTGAGCATATTAGTCAAATGCCATACACAAAAATCTCTGCTTAACCAAAAACCTTTTAAGTACTAGTTAATGACTGATCTACGTGGAGAACTGAACAGCTCTTTAAAATAACAACATGATAAAGAATTTGAGCAGTACATTGAAGCTTGTGGCAAAATAATTAAACTGCATAATGTTTCTAGCATCATGGAATTTTGCTTTCAAACCCATGGGCATGCAACAGTATAATAGCTTCAAATATTCAATTGCTACTAATGAGAATTTAAGATAAAAGCTTGTTATGAAAAATGTTTAACTTACCAAAACACCACTGACAAGCATCACTTCAAACATGATGGGAAGAAGATTAAATACCAAAGCACTCAGGACAAAACTGATACCCCTTGTTCCTCTGTCAATAGCTTTAGATAAAGCTCCTGTCTGTCTGCTCAGGTGAAAACCCAGATCCAAGTTGTGAAGATGGAGAAAGACATTTTTGGCTATTCTTCGGATTGAATTTTGGGCTACCTTGCCAAATACTGCATTTCGAACTTCATTAAAAAAAGCAGCTCCGGCTCTTGATACACCATCTAACAAAACATTCAAAAGAAAAAACAGGATGTAACAATATTAGAATCATAGGAGTATAGAAATGACAAGGGCTCAGAAAATGTTTGTACAATAATTTAGTGAATGAATATATCACAGAATATTTACAATAGAGCAAACCTAGAATTAATCTAGCCTAATGAGTATTAACTTTTCTACCACTATCAATCCCTTCAGTGTTATTTCCCTCCAGGCTTTCAGATATTAAAAGATTTTTTCCGGCCGGGCACGGTGGCTCACACCTGTAATCCCAGAACTTTGGGAGGCTGAGGCGGGTGGATCACAAGGTCAGGAGTTCAAGACAAACCTAGCTAAGATGGTGAAACCCCATCTCTACTAAAAATACAAAAATTAGCTGGGCATGGTGGCATGTGCCCGTAATTCCAACTACTTGGGAGGCTGAGGCAGAGAACTGCTTAAACCTGGAAGGCAGAGGTTGCAGTGAGCCGAGATCACACCACTGCACTCCAGCCTGGGCAACAGAGCAAGACACCAACTCAAAAAAAAAATTTTTTTTTTCCCAATTAAAATACTTTAGTAACAGCCCATATGGCATTATTGTGGATAAATGTGCAGTATCCATTAAGATTTTTGATCTAATTTAACCTCCCTAAATAACAAATGATAAAATCAAGACCCTAAAAAATCAAGTCTTGACTAAAGGCATACCCTTACTAAGGTCTCCCAAATTTCATAGTGTCCTTTCTGATGCACAGGGCACACAGTATTTATATTCTGTTCTTTTCAAATTGTAGATTTGTGTCATTATTAATGAATATATTTTAATAAAGCATTAATGACATACATAATGTTATTTAGCTATTTCCTATTTAATAGCTAACAATGCCAGCAAGAAAATAACTGACCTTTGTGGAAATGGACACTACAAAAGGCCTATTAGAAGTGGTTGTTATTAATTTAATGTCTTATTTCATATTATTGTTATCTAGAACTTGTAAAAATGCTACTATTATCATGGAATTTTTGGAAAGTGTATCATACAGAGTAGTTTTTAAAAACACATACAAAAAAAATCTGACATAAAACAACGAATATCCAAAAATGCCAAGTTGTGTTTGTAGTGAAAAGGTCATCTGTTCAAATATGATGAAACCTCCTTGAAAGTCAACACCTGTGGGCAGATTAAAGAATCACACATACAGCCAATCAGAACTGCTGTTGCCATGGTTGCAACTGTATTTGGTGCATCACTCAGGTTCAGCATGTTTCCAGACATCTGGTTGAGGCTGTCTACAGCATATTTAAACATGAAGGGAACCACAATATTCATGGCCTAAAAACATAAAAACATCAATTACTCATTATATACAAAATACGTATTTATAAAAGTACAAATATTTATCTTAAATTAGTACTTATGGTAATATTTACACATTTATCAATTACTGGTATTAGAGTAATTTTCCCCATTCATAAAGAAAAAATATTTGGCATTGGGAGAGCTGTCATTTCAGGCTTCATAATTCACACTGCCATGTTAATATTCATTTATAAGCTATGTGAATTAGTCAAATGCTTCTGCATGAAATCATCCCTGATCTGCCACTCAAAAATGCTGTCTCCATTATCTAAAATCCTGCAACGTTCATGACACTATGGCAAACTGTCTTACATTGTAGTTATTTGTGTATATATTTCTCTTTCCTACTAGATCCTTGAGGGTCTACGTCATATTACTTTTTGTTCCACCCATGCTGAATATAATGCTTTTATACAGTAGGCATTCAATAAATATTTTAAAAATAATTTGGTCACCAATATAATGGTAAACTAAATTATACAGCAAAATGGATCACAAAAGCAGATAAATTACAAGTATATATGGCTTATTCACCATTGGAAAAAATACTGATAAATCTATTTGTCCTACAGAAAGCTCCTTTGTTCCAATATCATATAAAACAAAGCCCAATTATTATCAAAACCAAGCTTTCAATAATGAACCTATTTCTCTTTGAGAATACATCAAAATAAAACTTTAAAAAGAAAATTAGCAGTGTGATGCTTTCATACATCCAAGGCAAATGTTTAATCATTCACATTCTATATTTTCTGCAGTTACAGTATCCAAAACATCAACCATCATTTAGGAACAGTAAGCTTGTCAGACTCCCAAAGTTTCTTTGAAGAAATCAAATCGATGCACATAATAACATGTAAAAACAATTCTATAAGCCTTAATAAAAACACTGAAATCCCAGATCTTGTTTATGCTCCATTATTATGTCATCTATCTTTGCAAAGTTTAGCTTATAACTGATAGAAGCTATGTAAATCTTACCAAGATTCCAAGGTAAGATATACAAGAGTCTTACCAACCAAGGAGGCATTCTAATATTCAACAATATCATTGAAAGACACAGCAGATGTTGTGATGCTTTTAAGAATGTAACCTTATGAGATAAACTGCTTAAACATTAAACTTTCTTACTTCTAAAATCTAATCGAATATATGGCAGGTCTCAAATAGCATAAATTTCTCAATTCTGATTCCCTTGTAGCCATATAACCTTAGGTTCTTGCTTCTTCTTGAAATGGTCTCCTCTCCCCTATCTACCTCGCCACTCTTCAAAGCCCAATTTGAATCCCATTTCTGTCATAATGCCTTCTATGAAACTTGCAGCCATTTTGGCACTCTCCATTTTCCATCTTCTATCTTTTTGTTATAGCTTATACCTCGACATTTATCACTTTTATGATATATTTCTGATTCATTTTGTATGTATACATGCATAGATATATTACCTTCTTTTTTTGAATAAATTTAAGGGGTACAGGTGCAGTTCTGTTTTACGGATATATTGTGTATTGGTGAGGTTTGGGCTTTTAGTGTATCTATCACCCAAACTATACAAACTTTTTGTGACAAAAATAACATTTACTGAACAACAGCTAGATGAATCAGGTATGGTGAAAGGTAGGTACCTTTCACAAACGTGAGGACTGAAAGAAACAATTTTTCAAAATAGATTTTGTCTCTATAGTTGAGGAAATGAGGTTTAATGACTTGTCTGGTAAGCAGCAGAGCTGAGATTAAAATCCAGGTTTAATTCTGCTTGAAGTCAGAATGTTTTCAAGCATACCACAGCCACATTAGCAGCTTATAAGGCAGGGACAATATATTCACTTCTTTGACACCCTAAAATGGATGCTCTCAACGGTACTGTTTAAACCAGCTATAGTTGTAAAGTATATCAAAAGTAATTTAAATAAATTTGAGCAGATTCCAGGTTTTCCATTTAAGGATACATTCCCTTACCTGCAATCCAATACACTTTCTTCAGTATGAGAAAAAGTGACAGTTATAGCTACCATGCAATTCTCATAGCTCATAGCCCATTATACCTTTTCCAAAGCTGTAGTGAATGATACCTAAAACTAATATATCACCAATAAAGTTGAGCAATTTTACTTTCTTCAAAATGTTTTTGGATTTGGTCTAACTTTAGAACATCCTTGTAAGTGTTCAGGACATGTGAGTGTCATCTGCATTGTGTTGGTAGTGGCAGAAAAAGGGCAGTTAGCACATGCAAAGAATATGGCACTACCTCTAATAATAACTGAATACCATTAGTTTTCCCATAAAAGTAATTTTAAAAAGGTAAGAAACATGCCACGTATGTTAAAAAGGACAGAAATACACCAAAGAAACAAGGATATTACATGTAGATGTTTTTATTAATATATAGTGTAAGTTTTGTCTTGTGATATTTTGGGGGTGGGAGTGGCAAATAGTGGTTTTCCCCAATATCCTGCATTTAGCAGAACTAGATTTAAACCATTCCAGGCAAATAAGAATATTTTTTAAAAATTTTTTTTATTTTGAAATAATTAGACTCATAGGAATTTGCAAAAGTAGTACAAAGAGACTCACGTACCCTTCACCCAGCATCTCCTAATGACATTTTATTTAGCTTTAGTTCAATATCAAAACCAGAAAGCTAACATTGGCACGTTACTGTTAAATACTGGACTAGAGAACTCATTCAGTTTTTACCATCTTTTAGCCTGTATTCATGTGTATGTGTGTGTAGTACGTATGTGTCTGTCTGTGTGGTTCTATGCAATTGTATCACATGTTCAGATCTGTAACCGGCACCACAATCAAGACACAAAACTATTTCATCACCGCCTCTAAGAAAAATAAAAAAGTTAGCTGGGCATGGTGGAGAAATCTATTATGCCACCACTTTATATTCACTCCTATCCTACCCGCCTCACTCCAGTCCCTGTACCCTGGCAGCCACTAATTTGTTCTTGATCTCTATAGCTTACTCATATTGAGAACATTCTAGAAATGGAATCATATAGTATATAACCTTTTAAGATCAGCTTTTGTTTCATTCAGCATAATGCTCTCAAAGTTTATCCACATGGTTGCATGTATTAATAGCTCATCATTTGCTATTTCTAAGGATTATTCCATTGACGCATTAGGATTTATTCAACCAGTCACCTTGAAGGACATTTTGGTTGTCTCCAGCTTTGGGCTACTATAAGTAAAGATGTTATCAACATTCTCATACAGGTGGATATAAGTTTCCATTCATCTGGGAAAAGACCCAAGAATCAAATTGCTAACTGATGTATCTCTATGCTGACTTTACTTAGAAACTGCCACCCTCTTTCTAGAGTTGCTAATTAATTTTATTTTATTTTATTTTATTCTGAGACGGAGTCTCGCTCTGTTGCCCAGGCTGGGACAACTTCAGCTCACTGCAACCTCCACCTCCCAGGTTCAAGTGATTCTCCTGCCTCAACCTCCTGAGTAGCTGGGATTACAGGTGCGTGCCACCACGCCCAGCTAACTTTTTTATTTTTCTTAGAGATGGGGGTTTCACCATGTTAGTCAGGCTGATCTCAGACTCCTGACCTCATGATCCGCCTGCCTCAGCTTCCCAAAGTGCTGGGATTACAGGCGTGAGGCACTAGGCCTGGCCATTTTATTTTTGAGACAGAGTCTCACTCTGTTGCCCAGGCTAGAGTACAGCGGCGCGATCTTAGCTCAGTGCAACCTCCACCTCCTGGGTTCAAGCGATTCTACTGCCTTCCCCTCCTGATTAGCTGGGACTACAAAAGCATGCCACCATATTCAGCTAATTTTTGTATTTTTGGTAGAGACAGGGTTTCACCATGTTGGCCAGAATGGTCTCAAAACTCCTGGGCTCAAGTGATCCTGCCTGCGTTGGCCTCCCAAAGTGCTGGGATTACAGATGTGAGCTACCACACCTGGCCAGCTGTATAATTTTATAATAACCAGCGAAGTATGAGTGACACAGTTCTTCTGCATCCTCCAAACATCTGTTATTATCATTATTTTTAAAATTTCAAAATTGTTCTAATAGGTATATATTGATACCTCATTGATGTTGAACACGTTTTAATCTGCTTTTTTGCAATCTATATCTTCTATTTGGTGAAATATCTGTTCATGTCTTTTGTACATTTTATAATTGGATTTTCTGCTGTTGAGTTTTAAGAATTCTTCATATATTCAAAATATAAGGCCTTTGTAGGATATATGGTTTGCAAATATTCTTGCCCAGTCTATTGACTTTTATTCTACTCAGGAGTCTAACCTCTCACCCCATTCAGCAGTAATGAGAAACCTCTTCTACCAAGAGTCAATAGAAGCCCAAGTAGAAATCCTGGATTCTCATCTCTACCCACAGTAATGAGGCAGCACCCCTGCTCCACTGAAGTGGTATCACAGGAGGCCTGCTAAACAGAAGATTTACATAAGATTCAGAGTCCCCTAATACCCCACATTTCCAGATTTCAATTTAAAATATCATATCAAGAACCAATAAAATATCAATTTAAGTAAGACAATACAATCAATAGACACTAACATCAGGAAGACACAAACATTACAACTATCTGAAAGGTTTCAAAGTAGCCATCATAAAAGTGCATCAAGGAATATTTATGAACATGCTTGAAATTAGTGAAAAAATAGAAGTCTCAGGAAATAAAGGATATAAAGAACCAAATGAAAAATACAGAACTGAAAAATATCAACTGACATATTAAAAACTCGACAGATGGGCTCCATAGCAAAACAGAGAAGACAGAGGTAAGTATTGGTGAACTTGAAGATAGAACAATAATTAGAAATACAATGCTTTCATATATTCAAGGCAAATGTTTAATCATTCACATTCTACATTTTCTGCAATTACAGTATGAAAAACATCAACTATCACTTAGGAACAGGAAGTCTGTCACACTGCCAGAGTTTTTCTGAAGAAATTAAACGGATGGACATTAATA